CGACCCCGGGCTGGACTCCGCTTAGTCCACGGTGAAAGCCGATCCGGCGAGCCACAACGCGAAGATGATGTATTTCCTCAGCGACCAGCATGGATCAGCTCCAGGCATGACGAAGCGGATATCGTCCTCTTTTGGAAGACCAGACAAAGTAGTTTCGCTTTCACAACGAAACACACAGCGTCTTCAGGACATGGCGGCGGCAGCAACAATACTACAGCGAGAATAAAAGTTACGCCTTCTTTCTTTGCGTGCACATTTGGGCGGCATTATGCAAATCTTCCCACATCGTGACGTAGATATGTGGGGGCGTGTTAGAACGAGTCGTTTTAGGTAGGCGTGGTTAACTCTTAACTTTTATAAAGAATATCTCTTTGGATTTGAGACTTTAGTCTTTGCAACTTTACAGATCTTCTTTATGCACCAAGAGCTTGTAACACTCCAAAGAGAAAGAAAAAATTTTAATCGCATTATATGACCCCTTTAAATTAGTATTTTGATCAGGCTCCTATGAAAATAACATTGGACATTTGCAAATAAGGCATTCAATAATTGACTAATAACCTTTTCTTTGCCATTAAAGTGAAATTACTGAACCTAAATATAGGAGTCTGATAAAAAAATGCTCAATTAAAAGAAAAAAATCCCAGAAAAATCTTTGAGGTTTTTGCCTGTTTTGACATAAAAAGTATTTGGCAACTTTCTGGCTGTCAAACATTAGAACGATCATGTGACACTGAAGTAATGATGCTGAAAATTCAGCTTTGCATCACAGGAATAAATGACATTTTCTCATTTTATCAGGTTCCTCTGCCAGGACGCATGTGTGAGTTGATATTATACATACACAAAAAAAATTTAATAATCACCAAAACACCAGTTGGTTAAAAGTTAGTTTTGAGACAAGATGTTTACAAGTTAGTAAGTTAGTAAGAAAAGCTCCAGCATCATTTGTTTGTAGATGCTGTTTGGCTTGATCTTTTGTTATCTAATGCACTGTCGTTTATTGATTATTTATACAAATTAGACTTTTTTTTAAGTGTACAAATATTTTTGGGGAATACTGTAAATATATATAGATGTATACACGCACTACCGTTCTAACGTCTGGGGATCAGTAAGATTAATTGTAAAGAAATTAATACTTTTATTTAGCAAGGATGCACTAAATTGATCAAAAGTGACAGTAAAGCCATTTATAATGTTACAAAAGGTTTATATTTCAAATAAATGCTGTTCTTTTGAACTTTCTATTCATTAAAGCATTCGGAAAAAAATGTATCAGTTTCCACAAAAACAGGAAGCAGCACAATGGTTTTCAACATTGATAATAACAAATGTTAAATCAGCATATTAGAATGATTTCTAAAGGATCATGTGACACTGAAGACTGGAGTATTGATGTTGACAATTCAGCTTTAAATCAGAGGAATAAATTACATTTTTTTAATAAATTACAATAGATTTTAGATAGCAATAGATATTTTAGATTAGAATTTTAAAAAAAAATCTGTTTAAACATCTTAATGAGCATAACATACTTTTTTCAAAAACATAAAAAAAATCTTAACAACCCCAAATGTTTGAATGGTATTGTTTGCATATTAACAGACCTGTAACTCTTCAGGAGCATGGTTTCTAACCCCTTCTCTAGTGTATAACGTCTTGACATGTTCAGATTTCAGGCAAGCCCAACTAAAATGAACAAACTTCTGTGAAACTTATCAGAAGTGGGCTTTATGGACTAACACGTCATGCCACACACTCTCAAAGCCTTACACAACTTGTATGGATTCCTTGTATGAAAAATATCAAATGTAATAATTGTGATTTGAATGAAATTCCATAAAATGATGACTCTCTCAGTATGCCTAATGAAAGCAATGCATTTCTTCTCATTTTAGAGTGTTCAAAGATGAGATATTTGTGTGGCAGGGATCTGGAAGTAGGACCCAATCGCAAAGTGAGTGACAAGGGTTTATTACAAAACAGAGATACAAGACAGTAGCGAGTTGTGCAGGTGATTCAATGGCAGGAACACAGTTAACAGAGAGAGACAGCTAGGCAACACCACTGGGACAGCCTTGGACATCAACTGGCAGAATAGCAGCAGAGGAAGCGGCAAGACGAGGCAGATAGAGAAGACCAAGCAAGGCACCACTCAGATACTTGACCGCAAACTCTGAAGTGGACCAAGTACCCGGAAGGGAGAACCAGTGGGCAGGAACTATAACACCACAAAGAGACAAGAGACAACTCCAATGCAGGCACGGGGATAAATAAAACCGAAGAACTGATTAAAAGTAAAAGAAATTACCAATTTAACCAACACAACTAACGTAAAGAACATCAAACAAAAAAAGCAAACAAAAGATCAGGACTAGGAGAACTGAATAAATACTAAAAAGAAAGGCAAAAAACAAACAAAAATGCAAAAACAAGGAGCAAGACAACATGGAACTACAAAGAACTAGACAAGACAGGGGCACAAGACCAACCAGGGAGACGGGAACACATACTCAGCCACCGACAAAGACAGCGAGGGTGAGAATGTCCACAAACCAGCAAAAACCAGAGGGCAAGGGGAACTATAAATAGGGAGGAAGGCACACGAGGAACAGGTGAGAGCAATTAGACCAACAAGGACTAGACAAGGGCTAACAACAGGGTGTGGTAAAGAGGAAACAAGGAGGGGCTAGAAAAGCTCATGGCTGAGAGAAATATTAACTAAGCCATGTACTGACACACAAGACAAAATAGACACCGGAAACAAACACAAGACAAATGGAGTGTCAGGGCAGAACCCTGACATTTGTGTAGATGCATATATCCAGTGGGTTAACTTATTGGAAAGGGAGCATAATTATTATTAAATGTAACTAAAATGCATCAGTACATTCCTCCATGATATGGTCAATGGAATGTAAAGGCATTACAATTGTTCAGAAGAGAGTAGCAGCCCAACACTTGCTCATTTTGTTAGATTTTGCTCCCTGATATCAGCCTGCATGTAAGAAGTCTGTCGTAATTATTCTGGCCACTGGTGGTTTAACTGCTTGTGAGGTGCAGATAGCAGAGCATGTGGATGTGTAATTAGGAATGATTGCAGGGATGAGCAGAAGGAGAAGGCCACGAGGTTCATACGGCCACATGGACATGCAAAGCAGCTGAAATCCTGCAGGAAACAGCGCTGCCATTACATCATAAGACTCACACACTGGGTAATTGCTCATTAAAAAGCAGAAAAAAATAGCTATTGCTTCTTTTTTACCATGCTCTGCTGTGTTCAGTCTGATGAGCTTAACTAATCATCTTTACTCAGGCTTAAGAACGGAGTAAATTATTCTCTCATATCGCTGTCCACTTTCTTTGAAGATGTTCTCGCAAATTTCAGTAGCTAGTTCATTTTAAAGTTGCGACAAAATCAGGAGAAAACATTATATGTTGTTCATTATAAACATATGGTGCTTATGTTGTGTTCTTGGGAACGATTGCAGGGATGAGCAGAAGGAGAAGGCCACGAGGTTCATACGGCCACATGGACATGCAAAGCAGCTGAAACCCTGCAGGAAACAGCGCTGCCATTACATCATAAGATTCACAGTGGGTAATTGCTCATTAAAAAGCAGAAAAAAAATAGCTATTGCTTCTCTTTTACCATGCTCTGCCTTGTGCAGTCTGATGAGCTTAACTAATCATCTTTACTCAGGTTTAAGAACGGAGTAAATTATTCTCTCATATCGCTGTCCACTTTCTTTGAAGATGTTCTCGCAAATTTCAGTAGCTAGTTCATTTTAAAGTTGCGACAAAATCAGGAGAAAACATTATATGTTGTTCATTATAAACATATGGTGCTTATGTTGTGTTCTTGGGAACTGCAGAGTTTAAACTTATACTGTCTTATTATACAATATGCAGTGCTGAAAGTGTTGGACAAGACGGATAGATCCATAAACAGTCACAATTTAATTCCAGCAGCTGTAGGTCAAACCGTTTCAGGATACAAATTCAGCAGGTGAGTAATAAATCATCTTGATTTATGTAAAATAAAGTGCATTTTCAAACAAATCAACTGTTTGCTGTTCAACAATGACCTAGATGAAAGAAAATGGTCATATTTTATTGTAGTGACAAAGCAAATCCATCAGTGCAGAGTCTGTGTTGTAATATTGCAGACATTTTTATTACTGTATTTAAAATCTAAAACCATTGTGTTTTGAAGTAAATTGAATATTTATTAGAAATAAGTGCTGTAATTTTTTACAAACTTGATTAATATACAATTATATAAAAATACTTTGAAATGTCAATATACCAAAACCCACAGTTCTAATGCTGCGTTCAAGTCATCCTGGGACATTCGTACTTACGAATTGACAAGTCGTAATTACGATGTCAGGTGCGTTCAAGTCAGTTTAGTCGGCACAAGATGGCGGTGTACCTTCTTTTAATAAATTACAAGAAAATACAAATCTGCATTTCTTTACTTGGATTTCAGCTGCGTAACAAGAACATGACCAATTTAAGTTTATAGGACAACTAAACTATCAATTTAAACAAAAATTTACTGTCAACTACAGACGTTGCATCCATCGATTCCGCCATGTTTCTCATTGACACGCCCCCAACTCGGAAACTCGGGGCTTAAAGATTTCCCACTCGTAATAACGACTTTGTGGTGGTGTTCATGTGCGTTCAACTCGTAAATACGATCTATCCGACATGACTTGAACGCACCATAAGGCCTTTAAATATTCAATGAAAAGAATAGTTACTTAGCTTCTATTTTAATTGACTGCACACTAGATATAAAGGTCCAACATAAGCCTTTGCAGGTATAGTTTGAAATCGAATGATTAAACTGATATTAGTCAGATGCATATTATAGGACAGCTAACTAATTGAGAGTTCAGACTCCATGTTCATCTGATTCAAGAGGTGATTTACTAATCACAACTAAACAATGGTGATTTGAAGGCCACTTTACCGTGATATCTTTCCCAAGGAAACATGACATTTTTCTTCTTCCTGATATACCACAATATTATTGTACAGGATAATTTTTGACATGCTTTGCTTATATCTTTCAGGTATGTTAGTAAAACAGTATTCTTTATGCGGTTACGTTGCAATGGCCAACAGACTCACTGTTATTGTGTAAAATTACACAACTTCATTCATACAATTTCAGCAAAAAAATTATATTTCGAAATCGATTAACCATTCTAGCATCTCTCCACACAACTCATTTGCATGAATTTGTGCCACTTCCCTGTTCATCAGTAGATGCAGTTTCACAGTTTGGCTTTTCCAGGCGTCAGCTGAAGGTTTTGAAGTTTCATGGCCATTCCCATATTCCCAGTTATCTTTAGTTTTCCTTGGAAAAATGCCTTTAAATGAGAATACAAGATTAACAAATTAAGGCTTCACAGTGCAGGGTTATTATAGTTAACTAAAGCCACAAAAAAAAAAAAAAAGTTAGTCCTTGAAATAAAATGTTAACTGAAATAATATTAAAAAAATAATCTGATAGTCTGATTCACAAACAATTAACTCTTATGACCTGGTTTGGTAACACTATTTAATAGGTATACAGTCAGTATAATTTTATAAATTATTATATATATTATTAATAACAGTTATCAATATAAAAAATAACAAAAACATTTTTTTTTTACATTTTACTTCAGCTAGTGGACAGGGCAACATTTCTCATTTTCATTTAGTTTATCTTGTAAATTTGTATGAAAATAACTACAACTGAAATGAAAATTAAGAAGAAGAAAAAACACACATACAGATGATAATTAAAAACACAATAATAATAAAAATGCCAAACAAACAAAATTACTACAATTTTAACCAAACTTAAAATCAAAACATATAAACTATTTCAAAATATTAATAAAAACGATATTATCTCAGTGATACTAATATACACTGTATATGAGTACAAAATAAAAAGGTTATGATCATTTATTATTCCTCCCCCAACATTTCATGCGAGTTTCTCTCCATTTGACTATTTCCACATGTCATGAGCATGATGGATTTGAGCTCTAAACGGTTCAGCTTTTCTATTCGGGATTAATCTGAAAATGATTCCCTTTATGGAGGATTATTGTGAAAAGAGTGGCTAATTTTTAGATGAAGCTTCTGTCAAACCATCTGATGTGGCGTTCATCAGATGGACAGACATGATGGAGGTTGCGTGAGTCAACACAGATGGGTGTAAATCACGAGGGAATGACATTTCAAAGGGCTTATGAAAACAATCTATTTTTCATGCTCTGACTCACATCAGCAGAGGAAACATTAGAGGCCATCAGCCTAATTTGGGACTGCGTAAAAGATTTACGCTTCACTCTGATCAGCATTCGGTGTCAGGAGGCTTTGTCTGCTTTAATGTGTGTGATTCAGTCAAAAGAAATGGTTGGACATGCGACTTAATACTGTATGCATGTCATGCTAGCTACAGTCAGGTCAAGGGAATGTCAAAGTAACTCAATGTTAAAGGGGTCATATGATGCTTTTTTAAAGATCATTATTTTGGGTTACTCCACCCCAAAATGAAAATTTTGTCATTAATCACTTACCCCCATGTCGTTCCAAACCCCTAAAAGCTTTGTTCGTCTTCGGAACACAATTTAAGATATGATGTGGCGTTCATCAGATGGACAGACATGATGGAGGTTGCGTGAGTCAACACAGATGGGTGTAAATCACGAGGGAATGACATTTCAAAGGGCTTATGAAAACAATCTATTTTTCATGCTCTGACTCACATCAGCAGAGGAACCATTAGAGGCCATCAGCCTAATTTGGGACTGCGTAAAAGATTTACGCTTCACTCTGATCAGCATTCGGTGTCAGGAGGCTTTGTCTGCTTTAATGTGTGTGATTCAGTCAAAAGAAATGGTTGGACATGCGACTTAATACTGTATGCATGTCATGCTATCTACAGTCAGGTCAAGGGAATGTCAAAGTAACTCAATGTTAAAGGGGTCATATGATGCTTTTTTAAAGATCATTATTTTGGGTTACTCCACCCCAAAATGAAAATTTTGTCATTAATCACTTACCCCCATGTCGTTCCAAACCCCTAAAAGCTTTGTTCGTCTTCGGAACACAATTTAAGATATTTTGGATGAAAACGGGAGCCTTGTGACTGTCCCATTGACTGCCAAGTAAATACCACTGTCAAGACCCAGAAAAGTATGAAAGACATCGTGAGAATAGTCCATCTTCATCAGTGGTTCAATCTGAATTTTATGAAGCGACGAGAATACTTTGTGTACATAAAGAAAACAAAAATAACGACTTTATTCACCGTAGTGCCATTTTGCAGAGTATCCACTGAACGCAAGCAGCGTATGCTGTTCGTTGTCAGCCACACCACAAGGATACATTTTCTACGTTTATTTATGCTTTGATTTGAACGAAAACAGCGCATCCATGTGGTGCGGCTGACACAGAACAGCATACGCTGCTTGCGTTCAGTGGATACTCTGCAAAATGGCACTACGGTGAATAAAGTCGTTATTTTTGTTTTCTTTGTGTACAAAAAGTATTCTCGTCGCTTCATAAAATTCAGATTGAACCACTGATGGCAGATGGACTATTCTGACGATGTCTTTCATACTTTTCTGGGCCTTGACAGTGTTATTTACTTGGCAGTCAATGGGACAGTCACAAGCCTCCCGTTTTCATCCAAAATATCTTAAATTGTGTTTTCCGAAGACGAACTAAGCTTTTAGGGGTTTGGAACAGCATGGGGGTAAGTGATTAATGACAAAATTTTCATTTTGGGGTGGAGTAACCCTTTAACAGTAAATATTCCTGAAATATTTACAAATACATTTGTATTAATTTACTTCATTCATAAACACTTCTTTACTGTTGAATATAAATAACTTGAATGAATAACTGGGCGATATGTCAAATATTAGTAATATTGTCACAAAATATCTTTGCTGATGGTATCAAATTAGGGAATATCGTGTATATTGCAAAAATGTTAGACAATTAACTTATAAAGACAGTAAGCCAATTTAAATTACAACCATAATTAATTTGTATGTCTAGATTATTCCTATTTTTAACTAGTGTTGATTTTGCCATAAACAATTTGTATGTACAGTACTTTGTAACAATAGCTGGTCTATAAAGATCAGGTTTAATTTAGTTAATTATTGTAAAAATTTGGAAAATGATCCATGCTTCTATTTTATTAAACAAAAAAAATCCTATTTTTAGCTATATAACTCCAGCCCTAATAATTTGCCCAGGACACTCTCAAACCTTATCTAGCTCTCAAACTACACTGATACACACCAACTTATCAGAACAGCTTCAATGTTCTTTTCTTCATAAAAAACACAAGATGTCAACAGACCACTAAGAATAAACCATCAAACCATACCGTTTGTGGATTCATCCGCCCCGTCATCAATTCAAGCAGATCTGAGTCGGACATAGCGATAGTACAGTCGGCCTTTTTACCTGTGCAAGAAGTAAACAGTGAAACATGTTACAATGTGTCTATAACAAAGTGCACTTGGAGACACTGACTTTAGAGTTAAATCTAACAAATGACTGTTTAATGTGTATGCAAAAGACTATTTACAAAACATTTTTTTTTCATTAGAATATCAAAAAGAATATTTAAAGAATATAAGAGTCCCTTATCATCACCAAGGCTGCATTTATTTGATCAGAAATACAGTAATAAATAGAAATGTATTTCTATAAAATTTCTATTTGAATATATTTTAAAATGTAATTTATTCCTGTGATGCAAAGCTGTATTTTCAGCATCATTACTCCAGTCTTCAGTGTCACATGATCCTTCAGAAATCATTCTAATATGCTGATTTGCTGCTCAAGAAACATTATTATCAATGTTTAAAAAGTTGTGCTGCTTTATTATTTAATGAATAAAATTTTAAAAGAACAGCATTTATTTGAAATGTAAATCTTCTGTAACATTATAAATGTCTTTACTGTCACTGGGTCAAAATGCTGACCCGAGTCTTTTCCCGTTTTTTTTCTCCTTTTTTTTTTTATGAATTTTCCAATAATATGCAACACACAATGAGGTGGACAAAAAAATCTAAACACACCTGCATCATTGGTCACTGAACCTTTGCCATTTTTTACATCCACGACCCATAATGCTTCACTTCCACCTGGACCGTCCTTCACTTTGAAAGCGAAAACACCACCAATTTTCTTGATATATGCCTCTCCCTCCTGTTAAAATAATGACATCATTTAATAAATGTCGAAAATAGTTTTTCATCCACTTGAAAACTCCTGTGAATCTTATTCTGCACGGAATTTCACTTACAGTATGCTATTGTATTATTTTTCATCTTACACTGATGCAAATTATTTCTACAATAATCATAGCACTGAAGATTTAACATCCACGCTGACTTCATTAAAAAAGTCATTTGAGATGTGATTAAGACATCCTCCAGGAATATTACTCTTTCCAAGAAAAGAGCCACGAGTCATTGTTTATTCTTGTCTATCTGTGCATCTTATTTTTGGGTGCAATATGTTTGCAGACGCCACGGAGGCATTAACAAACCCCAAACCACGGAGTCTGATTTGCATGGTACGATTGGTGAGAGGCAGCCTCATTCCTGATGAATTACCTCCTGTAGCTTCTTCTCTATCTCCTTGAAGACAGTGTGAGCTTTGAAGCCTTTGAGGTCGCTGGTCGCGCTGGTGGCCACTGCAGCGATCCGAGAGCTGAGAAGGTTTAGTTCAGACAGTTCAACACTGCTGGTGCATGTATGGTGTGTGTACCAAGTCCAAAGGTCTGGTTGTAATGCATGTAAAAGAACTACGGCATTTAACAAAATGTAATGAAATTATTTTCCGAATATTCTAATGACTTATAACATCATGAACTCTGTGTACTCATACAGACTTACATGTAATTATGTATGCAGGTCATATAGAAATATAATCTTTTGTACCTTGGATTTTGCACCCAGTGTTCCATATGCTTAAACAAACATACAACAGAGCTGAACCATTCAAGCATAAAACAAAATAAGCAATAAAAATGTACACTGCTGTTCAAAAGTTTGGCGTTGATAAGATTAATACTTTAATTCAAATGAATACTTTTATTCAGCAAGGACACATTAAACTGATCAAAAGTGACAAAACAATTCTGTTATTTAAACTTTCTATTCTGAAAACGAATCACGGTTGGGTTTTCAACACTGACAATGAATTACTTGAGCACCTTATCATCATATCAGAAAACTGAGTAGAGTAACGGCTGCTGAAAATTCAGCTTCGCATTAAAAAAAGAAATAAATTACATTTTAAAATTTCATTTTAATTTGTATTAATATTTTACAAAATTATTGTTTTGACTGTATTTTTAATTCAAATCAATTCAGCTTTGGTGAGCATAAGAAACATGAAAAAGTCTTACCAAGCCCAAACTTTTGAACAGATGGTTGGGATTTTGGATAATAATTGACCGAAATTAAAAAAAAAAAAAAAAAAAAAAAAAAAAAAAAAAAGTAACTGGATACATTTAGGCCAGTCATCTCAATGCTCGTTAAGACAGGTCAACAACATATTTTAGCTTTAAACATACCTTGTTTCTTGAGGGAAGCCCATCCTGTAGAGAGTGACGACCACCGCTCCACCAAGACCGATGTTGTGCTGCAGGGCGACCTTTGCCCTGGGGACCTGCCGAGGCCCCGCCTCCCCCCTCAGCTGCCAGCACAGCTCTGCACACTGAGCCAGACCTGAGCCACGAAAACAGGCCAGAGTTCATCCTTCACTCACTCTCAGTGTCACAGCCTTCTGCCTTCACTGCGTTTCTATATTGCGTGACCTGATGATTCTAATAATTAGTGAACAAAACTGCCATAAAGGGGACCAGGTACTTTCTTGACAGTCTTTGTTAAATTTTCATTTATATAGCATTTTGCACAAAGTAGATGCATTGAAAACTCTCTGAAACTTTCTTGTCCTACCACATATACATACAACATCTTGTATATGTAACTATAATGTAAATATTCTTTACATGCTATGGCATAAAACTAGGGATTAGAAATGGTTCACGAAATGATTTTGCAGAGCGAAATATAAACAACTTTTTCGATAGACCTTAGTCAGGGTCACAGGGTGGATGCAATATTGAATTTTACACTGATGAAAATGAGGCTTTGAGGGACAAAAGCAAAGTTTTTATAATGATAGATCACATGATTTTTAAAACGCAAAATTTCCAGATTTTATGTAGTTTTTGTCTACTAAAATGATTTTAGTAAGATTATTTTAGTAAGGCATTTTGTAACAAACATTACAATCCATTGACTACACTGTATTAATTGACTGAAACTGTTATTTAACCATTTAATAGTGTTATTATATCGCACATTTTTACATTAAAGGTAGGGTAGGTGATTTCAGAGGGGTTAGCAAAAAAAAAAAGCACAAGATTCCACCCTCCCTGCAAAATCAGTCTCCAAAGCCACGCCTCCTCCAAAACACATGATCGCGCACAGGCAGACCAGAGACTAACAGCGACACGATGAGAGACGGCATCAACGCTGTCAGATCACCTCATGTCTCATTCACCGGTGAGAAAACATTACAGTACAAAGCGCATAATGTTACAATAATAACCCCTTCCATTCTCACTGGAATGAAAGAAAGAACGAAGTAACTGGATACATTTAGGCCAGTCATCTCAATGCTCGTTAAGACAGGTCAACAACATATTTTAGCTTTAAACATACCTTGTTTCTTGAGGGAAGCCCATCCTGTAGAGAGTGACGACCACCGCTCCACCAAGACCGATGTTGTGCTGCAGGGCGACCTTTGCCCTGGGGACCTGCCGAGGCCCCGCCTCCCCCCTCAGCTGCCAGCACAGCTCTGCACACTGAGCCAGACCTGAGCCACGAAAACAGGCCAGAGTTCATCCTTCACTCACTCTCAGTGTCACAGCCTTCTGCCTTCACTGCGTTTCTATATTGCGTGACCTGATGATTCTAATAATTAGTGAACAAAACTGCCATAAAGGGGACCAGGTACTTTCTTGACAGTCTTTGTTAAATTTTCATTTATATAGCATTTTGCACAAAGTAGATGCATTGAAAACTCTCTGAAACTTTCTTGTCCTACCACATATACATACAACATCTTGTATATGTAACTATAATGTAAATATTCTTTACATGCTATGGCATAAAACTAGGGATTAGAAATGGTTCACGAAATGATTTTGCAGAGCGAAATATAAACAACTTTTTCGATAGACCTTAGTCAGGGTCACAGGGTGGATGCAATATTGAATTTTACACTGATGAAAATGAGGCTTTGAGGGACAAAAGCAAAGTTTTTATAATGATAGATCACATGATTTTTAAAACGCAAAATTTCCAGATTTTATGTAGTTTTTGTCTACTAAAATGATTTTAGTAAGATTATTTTAGTAAGGCATTTTGTAACAAACATTACAATCCATTGACTACACTGTATTAATTGACTGAAACTGTTATTTAACCATTTAATAGTGTTATTATATCGCACATTTTTACATTAAAGGTAGGGTAGGTGATTTCAGAGGGGTTAGCAAAAAAAAAAAGCACAAGATTCCACCCTCCCTGCAAAATCAGTCTCCAAAGCCACGCCTCCTCCAAAACACATGATCGCGCACAGGCAGACCAGAGACTAACAGCGACACGATGAGAGACGGCATCAACGCTGTCAGATCACCTCATGTCTCATTCACCGGTGAGAAAACATTACAGTACAAAGCGCATAATGTTACAATAATAACCCCTTCCATTCTCACTGGAATGAAAGAAAGAACTGAACATTTACATACAATAAAGTAATACACAAAAAAATTTATAAAGTAAAAGTTTTCACACAGATTAAAGTGCAAAAGTATTATAAAGACCAATAAGTAACACTATATGATCTCATTAGTTAACCTTATTTAATGCATTAACAATTAATAATGAGCAATAGATATATTTGCTACTGAAGTTATTAATCTTTGTTTTAAAAAAATACAATTGTTAGTTCATTAAATAACACTTGCACCTTTTGATTTTAACAACATGTTATTAAATATTGAAATTACCTAAGATTAATGAATGTTTAGAAGAATTTTTCATTGGTAGTTTATGTTAACTAATGTTAATTAATAGAGCCTTAATGTAGCCTAAAGTGTGACCAAACAACAAAGAATCAAAACATTATCTAGGGCAGGGGTGCCCAACCCTGCTCCTGGCGATCGACTGTCCTGCAAAGTTTAGCTCCAACTCTAATCAAAGACACCTGCCTTTAATGTTTAAGTGATCCTGAAGACCCTAATTAGTTGCTTCAGGTGTGTTTGATTAGGGTTGGAGCTGAACTTTGCAGGACAGTCGATCGCCAGGAGCAGGGTTGGGCACCCCTGATCTAGGGCATGTTGTAATCCAGATTAAAATGTAATAAAAGTTTGAAAATAAATAGCATATTAAGTCTAAATATTATTATTATTATTATTATTATAAGAAAGTATTTGGTCCTGTCACCACTGCGAATTCAAAAATCTGAATGGCTGTTTAAACCATAGATATAACTCCTCGTAGAAAAGGTGTGGATCGAGATCACGAAAAACTGTCAAACCGCTTGATAACTGGAGAAAGAAATCAAGCATCGCAAATATCTTCAGATTCTGTCTGATCCATATGCCAAAAAATAATCAGACCACTATGATGATGATAAATGGATTTAGAATATAAAGTCAGTCCAAAAATGAAATCAAGCGAGTTTTAACCTCCTTCACCAGCACTACTACGTGTCTAATGTTCAGTGTTGAGAAAGTCAGGAAGGGACACGGAGAAGGATGGAGAGGTTAAAAGGATTGATATAGAGCAGGGGTGTCCAACCCTGCTCCTGGAGAGCTACCGTCCTGAAGACTTTAGTTCCAACCCTGCTCCAGCACACCTGTCTGTAATTATCAAGCAACCCTGAACACCTTGATTAGCTGGTTCAGGTGTGTTTGATTGGGGTTAGAGCTGAAATCTGCAGGATAGTAGCGCTCCAGGAGCAGGGTTGGACACCCCTGATATAGAGAGTCCATTGTTCAACACCTGGTTTTTGACACCAACCAATTTACAATTAGGAGACAAACCAGTTCAATATTCCACCACACCAACTAGTAGTAACTCAAGTCAGCTGCAGAACTGACGTCCTGCTGGAATCTAGTGTTAATTCTCTAATTCAGAGATGCGACTCCCCCTGCTGGTGGAGAGCCACGTGCAGACACAAACACGTAAGGGATGGACACTGTCAAGGCAGTAAAAGCCAATTGGTTGCCCAAGTCACCATTCACTGACATTAAAGGCAGAGTGAGGGATTTCTGGTAGCCAATGTTTATATTTGAAATCACCAAAACAAACACGCCCCACCCCAAAAGGGTCTTGCCCCTATTTTGATAACTCCGCCCCACATATACATACACAACCCAGGCAACGATTAGTTCTGTGAAACAAAGCAAAACCAATGTTACACCGTGTCTACAGTCGTGAGTGGTGCGGCGCCACAAATCCCCGACAGAAAACTGCTGCCGGGTTCTATTTATGACGTGCTGACACAAATTTCAAATGGTTTTCAACAGTCCTTTGATCGCATCCAGTGTAGGCAGACTTCAGCTGTTGTAGACACGGTGTTACTCACCTATCGATAAGAAACAAAGCAACCTCGGCGTCCGATCGCAGGCCTCCGCTCCTTGAGTTCTCTCCAGCGCTGGAAAGCTGATCCGATATTTACACGGGTCCTACTTCTTGCCTTATCGTTCCGCAGACGTTTTCCTCTTTTGTTTTTTATCCGCCATCTATATCTTTCTGCAAAGTTTAGCTCCAACTCTAATCAAAGACACCTGCCTTTAATGTTTAAGTGATCCTGAAGACCCTAATTAGTTGCTTCAGGTGTGTTTGATTAGGGTTGGAGCTGAACTTTGCAGGACAGTCGATCGCCAGGAGCAGGGTTGGGCACCCCTGATCTAGGGCATGTTGTAATCCAGATTAAAATGTAATAAAAGTTTGAAAATAAATAGCATATTAAGTCTAAATATTATTATTATTATTATTATAAGAAAGTATTTGGTCCTGTCACCACTGCGAATTCAAAAATCTGAATGGCTGTTTAAACCATAGATATAACTCCTCGTAGAAAAGGTGTGGATCGAGATCACGAAAAACTGTCAAACCGCTTGATAACTGGAGAAAGAAATCAAGCATCGCAAATATCTTCAGATTCTGTCTGATCCATATGCCAAAAAATAATCAGACCACTATGATGATGATAAATGGATTTAGAATATAAAGTCAGTCCAAAAATGAAATCAAGCGAGTTTTAACCTCCTTCACCAGCACTACTACGTGTCTAATGTTCAGTGTTGAGAAAGTCAGGAAGGGACACGGAGAAGGATGGAGAGGTTAAAAGGATTGATATAGAGCAGGGGTGTCCAACCCTGCTCCTGGAGAGCTACCGTCCTGAAGACTTTAGTTCCAACCCTGCTCCAGCACACCTGTCTGTAATTATCAAGCAACCCTGAACACCTTGATTAGCTGGTTCAGGTGTGTTTGATTGGGGTTAGAGCTGAAATCTGCAGGATAGTAGCGCTCCAGGAGCAGGGTTGGACACCCCTGATATAGAGAGTCCATTGTTCAACACCTGGTTTTTGACACCAACCAATTTACAATTAGGAGACAAACCAGTTCAATATTCCACCACACCAACTAGTAGTAACTCAAGTCAGCTGCAGAACTGACGTCCTGCTGGAATCTAGTGTTAATTCTCTAATTCAGAGATGCGACTCCCCCTGCTGGTGGAGAGCCACGTGCAGACACAAACACGTAAGGGATGGACACTGTCAAGGCAGTAAAAGCCAATTGGTTGCCCAAGTCACCATTCACTGACATTAAAGGCAGAGTGAGGGATTTCTGGTAGCCAATGTTTATATTTGAAATCACCAAAACAAACACGCCCCACCCCAAAAGGGTCTTGCCCCTATTTTGATAACTCCGCCCCACATATACATACACAACCCAGGCAACGATTAGTTCTGTGAAACAAAGCAAAACCAATGTTACACCGTGTCTACAGTCGTGAGTGGTGCGGCGCCACAAATCCCCGACAGAAAACTGCTGCCGGGTTCTATTTATGACGTGCTGACACAAATTTCAAATGGTTTTCAACAGTCCTTTGATCGCATCCAGTGTAGGCAGACTTCAGCTGTTGTAGACACGGTGTTACTCACCTATCGATAAGAAACAAAGCAACCTCGGCGTCCGATCGCAGGCCTCCGCTCCTTGAGTTCTCTCCAGCGCTGGAAAGCTGATCCGATATTTACACGGGTCCTACTTCTTGCCTTATCGTTCCGCAGACGTTTTCCTCTTTTGTTTTTTATCCGCCATCTATATCTTTCTGTCGCTCAGCTCGGCTAATGTCCGTCCTGTGCACTGAACGCTCTCTCCTCCACATCACGAGTAGACACGCCCCTTATTGCTGATTGGCTACAAGTTTTTGCGATTCGGCCCGAATCAGTTTTTAAAGTGTTTTTGAAAAATCACTCACTCTGCCTTTAAATGGACAAGCGCGAGTAGGACATTATTTTTGATTTCTCTTTTTGTTTTCTAAAAAAAAAAAAAAGGTAATGCACTTTAGAACAACATTAGGGTGAGTAAATAAATACCGAAACTTAATTTTTGTCTGAACTATTCTACAGACAGTCACAGAAAATAAGCTGTGAAGGGGGTAAATAAACTCAAATAATTGTTTACAAATAATTAATTTACAGGTGTATTTGTTCATTTTATGGTTTTGAGGTGCCTCTAATTTATTCTTATATCAGCAGCTGTCTACGTCAAAAGCAATGCTATTTATTTACTGCTGTTGGTTAATGATTAACTCTAGTTTCTTCATTCTCTCTTCTGTCATTCTTCACTTAATTGACTTGATATAGTCATGTGATATTGTTAGGCTGAATAACATCATCTGAACTTGCCATACTTTGATTTTTAGCAAATTGATGCCACTGCTGTTTTTTTACACTTTTTTTGTTGTTGTTTGTTTGTTTGTTTTATTGAGCTTGACAGAAGCTGGCCACAGTCTGCTTCTGGAAAACAGCAGCGTGAACACTGTGCTAAAGTTCTCCTTTTGTGTTTCACAGCCAAAACAAAGAGAGATCTGGAGTGACATGAGTAAGTAAAAATGATCCTAATAATTCACCCAGATCTGAAATCAGGTGTGTTTGATTAACCGTACCTGTGGCTCCAAGCGGATGTCCTTTAGAGATGAGTCCTCCACTGGGGTTTATCACCCATTTGCCACCATATGTATTATCACCCCGATCAATCAGCTCACCAGCTTTACCTACCAATGAAAAACAGATAATATTTTAAAACACGCAGCTAATCTAAACTTACATTTTTAAAAAGTTGTGCTAGAAAAGTGTGCTTGTGAAGCCGTCCATCTCACCCTCAGCACACAGACCCAGAGCTTCATAGGTGATGAGCTCATTGGCAGAGAAGCAGTCGTGCAGCTCGATGACGTCAACATCTGATGGCTTCAGACCAGCAGCGTCAAAGCACCTCTGAGCTGCAAGATGGGTCATGTCATAACCAACCTATGATGGACAGAGTAAAAAAAAACATTATATTAGACATAAGACAATGGAAAATGTCCTATGTAGAATCAAGCCACAGTTCACCCAAAAATGAAAAGTCTGCCATCATTTACTGACCTTCATGTCATTCCAAACCTGCATGACTTTCTTTCTTCTGTGGAACACAAAAAATTATTTTTTGATACAAGTTTCAGTTCCCATTGACTTCCAATTGTATTTTTTGCCCATATAATGGAAGTCCAAGGGAACCAAATCTGTTTAGATATGAATATTTCTCAAAATATATTTTTTTCCACAGAAGAAAGAAAGGACATGAGGGTGAATAAATGGTACTTAAAAGTCAGCTTTAAAAAAAAAACATATTAAAGGTCAGTTTTTTTTTTAGGCTTTGTGCTGCTCAACAAGATCAGCTACTCTTACCATTTTCATACAGCTGTTTTCCTCGAAGGTACTGGTGAGGTCTGTGACCATTTCCTGTGCAATGATCTCCACAGCCTTTTTCTCCAGTCCGTTCCTCCTCACAAACTTCTCACTGGCCAGAACAGCAGCTCCTGCCCCATCAGATGTCGGGCTGCAGGAAAATAAGAGACGATATAAAAATCTGATTCTGTTGGACAGGATGATGGACCCACTAAAGTTCACAGTTTAACAAGCTATCTAATAAGACCATAGCGTTTCTTAAAATAATAACATTTATGAGCTAGAATAATGACCGTCATGCAAAAAAGCTTGTAAAACGCCCAGAAGATTCTTTGATATGAGTATTTAATTGTGTTCAGTACATATTAAACTCAGTAAACTGCATTTGTGGAATAACATTTGATTACCACAAAAAAATTAATAAATAAATTGTTTTTTTTGTTGATGACCAAGAGTGACACTTCAATAAAATAGATAAGGGATAACTTAAAAATAATTAAACTAATTAATGTACATATTTAAAATGGTTTATTTAAATTCATGTTTTAAAAATGTAGTTAAATAAAATAGCGTAATAATCAATTTAATTAATTGTCAATTGAAAAACAGACATTTAAAACTATTTAATTTAAGCTTTAAAATGTAGTTAAATGAAACGATAATATAGTAAATTAATAAATCATAAATTGCACATTTAAATAGTATTAAAAAAAGGAATTTGCCTGTTACTTTTCTGTGTCTACATGCCAAATGCAAAGCCAATAAACTTTCGACTCAATTTTAAGAGACGTCTCTCATTTGCCACTTAATATGTGACCCTGGACCACAAAACCAGTCTTAACTGTCGCTTTATACACCATCTGAAAGCTGAATATTTAGCCGAGATACAACTATTTGAAAATCTGAAATCTGAGGGTGCAAAAAAATCTAAATATTGAGAAAATCGCCTTTAAAGTTGTCCAAATGAAGTTCTTAGCAATGCATATTACTAATCAAAAATTCAGTTTTTATATATTTACAGTAAGAAATTTACAAAATATCTTCATGAAACATGATCTTTACTTAATGTCCTAATGATTTTTGGCATAAAAGACAAATCGATAGTTTTGACCCATACAATGTTTTTTTTGGCTATTGCTACAAATATACCCCAGCGACTTAAGACTGCTTTTGTGCTCCAGGGTCACGTATATGACAGAACAGACTCTAAAAAAAGAGAAGTTAGGAATGGTAAGAAAACCAAACCTTCACCAAATCTGGAAGTTTTTACCTTGCACATCAATAAACACACATATTGTTTATGTCTTGTGGCTATACTATTAAAACAATGAGTGTTTGAACAGTTATGGATTGGCTTCTTCACACTGCCAGTGTAAGTGCTTCAACAACTTTTACTGTTTTTTTAAAGAAAAATAAATTTTTGTGGTAAACAGCAATATGCTACAAGTGCTGTCGTCGCCTGAGATCAACTTGTGCTGAACATAACTAAACAACGTGCTACATGCAATATTTTAATAAAACATATTATATTCAAAGCCCCCGAGTGTCTTTATAGTTAGTTTTTATATATAAAACTCCCAACTCCTACAGGCTTTGCCTTTAACTTCACCACAGCACAGTATGTTCTGTAACGAGCAATAAGCTAGGCTGCATTACAGTAGCCTTTTAGCAAACCAGACCATCACAAAGCGCAAATATCAAGGCAATCGATGCGTTTACCTTTGTCATTCCCACCCCGACAACAAAAACCCTGTTTCTTGCTGCAGCCATCTTCAGGTTAGCGTTGTGACCGCTCAACTGGACTCGACGGCTGAGTACTGACTGCAGCTAAACAACAGCAGCTGATTATAAACACACAGATGGCGCTCTTTCCTCAGCCATGGTCACTCACATCCATATTTTCCTCAGCCATGGTCACTCACATCGACAGCTAGGTCAGAACGTTTTCGGGAAATCTATATTTATGATCATTTGTCAAGCTGTTTTACCATTTATTCCTTAAAAGATAATAGTTCATAGTAATATCTGTTTTATGTTGCTTGCTTAGGAACATTAAACACGGTTTTACTATAGTAAAAGTGTAGTAACCATGTTTTTTTTGGCGTATTAATATTTGTATAACCAGTTTTACATCAAATACCATGGTTAAACTGTGGCAAGTATTGCAAAACCATGGTTAATTTGTAGTTACCATGTACTTTAGCGCTTCCGCTCCTTCCGCTCCTTCCGGTCGTGCGTATGTGGGGTAAAGCAGCGCAGTTTTATCATACTAGATACGTTTGAAAGTTCTGTTATAATGCTACTCTGTGCGGTCGTCACCGGTCTATTAAAACACACAACATATTAAAGTGTCTTTGGCGTTTCCAAAACCGGAAATCAAGGGATTAAGACGTCATTGGCAGGCGACATTTTCAGCATCATTACTTCAGACTTCAGTGTCTGCCTTCTTATAATCAATGCTGAAAACAGTATTTTTGTGGAAACCATGGTACTTTTTTTTTTTTTTTTCAGGATTCCTCGATGATTGGACAGTTCCAAATAACAGCATTTGTTTGAAAAAAAAAAAAATTTTTGTAACAAATCTTAATACATCCTTGCTAAATAAAAGTATTTATTTAAAAACTACTGGAATATATGTAATATCTCACCTGAGGTTGAAAGTCGACTGGTTCCGGACCCCGACACTCAAACTGGACAATTGTCTTAAACCTTTCGCTGTCTTCTGCCTTTAGAAGAGAAAATACAAAATCGCCAACATAAAAAAAAAAATGCATATATGCAACTATAAATATTCATATGCAACTGCATTATTCACTGTGCATTGTGGCTTATAAAGTAACAAACAAAAAAATGATTTTTTTCTGTCTTACATTGTAAGGTGTAATCGTGTCCCTCAGGATATCTGGAAACAGTCAGACATCCACTTAAGTCCAATAAGACATTCATACACTTACCCAACCAAAAATATAAAAACACCAACAGAGAAGATATTATTGTGCAACATTTTGGCCACGTGTAAGCATTTTATCAGCACATTTACTAGCTAGTAGGTTGGTTACCAATGGAGTTTTCCCGAGAACACAGTTTGCACTTCTGCACCATGCTAGCACTCCCTCGTCCTCCTTTCAGTGGCATGCTGTCCTGAAGTGAGGAAAGGACCAGCTGTCACTATACAGACGTTTCTATGCACTCAATTTAGTAAACATGAGTCACACAAGTGCAAAAGTGCAGTGTATCAGTGAAGGGGAGATTTTGAATGAATAAAACCTTAAATATACACTGAACAAAATTATAAAACGCAACACTTTTGTTTTTGCCCCCATTTTTCATGAGCTGAACTCAAAGATCTTCTATGTACACAAAAAAGTCTAAATCTGTGTTAGTGAGCACTTCTCCTTTGCCGAGATAATCCATCCACCTCACAGGTGTGGCATATCAAGATGCTGATTAGACAGCATGATTATTGCACAGGTGTGCCTTAGGCTGGCCACAATAAAAGGCCACTCTAAAATGTGCAGTTTTAAATCATGCTGTCTAATCAGCATCTTGATATGCCACACCTGTGAGGTGGATGGATTATCTCGGCAAAGGAGAAGTGCTCACTAACACAGATTTAGACAGATTTGTGAACAATATTTGCGAGAAATAGGCCTTTTGTGTACATAGAAAAAGTCTTAGATCTTTGAGTTCAGCTCATGACAAATGGGGGCAAAAACAAGTGTTGCATTTATAATTTTTTTCAGTGTATAAAATCATACTGTTTTTAAACAGCGTGAGGGTGACAATCTTAATTTCTTAGTGAAACATTTATTTCATATGCAGTGCGACAGTCTTGTACTTTGAAAATGTGTAAAAATGAATTGAAAAATCACTTCTAAAACAAAGTAAACCAAAAAATGACAATGCATTTAAAAACTGCCTTGGAGAAAGAAAAAATGTAAACAGCATTTTATGTCTTTTTTTGAGAAATAATGAAAACCCGGCACAATGAAAAATCACAATTAAAAACTGCATGTTTGTTCCCTTCTCGGTTTTACTGAAGTAGTAGTTTTATTTTTTTTAAGTAGTAAAGATAAACATATCATCATTGCTAAAAGCATGAAAACATCTTGCAACAATACTAGTAGATGATGCAAACCAGTTATTGGCTATATTTTCCACACTTTGCAACCTACCATTAATGTGATATACTGCCATCTATCCGACACCTCACCACAATTCCCACACTTCAGCTGCAAGCACAGGAGTCAGTGATTAGACTAAAGGACAGTTTTCAAATCATACTGTTTTTAAACAGCGTGAGGGTGACAATTTTAATTTCTTAGTGAAACATTTATTTCATATGCAGTGCGACAGTCTTGTACTTTGAAAATGTGTAAAAATGAATTGAAAAATCACTTTTAAAACAAAGTAAACCAAAAAATGACAATGCATTTAAAAACTGCCTTGGAGAAAGAAAAAATGTAAACAGCATTTTATGTCTTTTTTTGAGAAATAATGAAAACACGGCACAATGAAAAATCACAATTAAAAACTGCATGTTTGTTCCCTTCTCGGTTTTACTGAAGTAGTAGTTTTATTTTTTTTAAGTAGTAAAGATAAACATATCATCATTGCTAAAAGCATGAAAACATCTTGCAACAATACTAGTAGATGATGCAAACCAGTTATTGGCTATATTTTCCACACTTTGCAACCTACCCACAACAACATTTCAAATGCAAATAATAGTGACAATAACAAAGGCATTTCAGCTCCTGCATCCCTTCATTGTCATTGGATGAATGGGATGTACACGGTTATTATTCAGTTCCGCCCTCTCCTCAATGGAGGGAAGGGCCACAGTGAGGTCAGTGCGGTCGACTCGACTCGGAGGGCCGTCTTTGTCTGGGGGTTCCGTGGCCGTTCTGAAAACCGTTCTGTCGTTTGGTGAAACCTCCGTTCAGGATATCCTGAATATGCTGCACAATCAGATTAATAGCCACTAAAGAGAAAGGGAGATAAAAGTACATCAAGTTAAATCTCTCCAGTGTGCATTTCATATCAAATAACTAGTGGCCTACTGCCTCACCGTGATTGTCTGCTCCTCTGGGGATGATGACGTCTGCATACTTTTTGGTCTGGGAATATAAATGTTCAAGATCATTTAGGGCACAAAGAATGAGGAAGCAGATGGAAGGTGTCAAATTAGTATGCGTGATACCTTTTCCGACAATAAAGCACAGTTAAAAGCTGCTATAATAATGGAGAAGTGAGGGTTCGTTCATAAGGATACTCACAGGGAGACAGAACTCCTCAAAGGCTGGCTTCACAAAGGTGATGTACTGGTTCAGAACCTGCTCCAACTCTCTGCCTCTCTCACTTATGTCCCGCAACACTGATAGAAATAAGAAAACACACAGTTAGTATATAGTGCCGAGCAGTTTAACCAAACCTTCACGATCAATTTTATTACTTAAACTTACTTTATTTCATTTAGCTCCCAAGGCAACCTACCCATTTTTTACAAGTTTTTTTTAGTATAATGTTGTGGTCACACTAGCACACACAATTTCTTCAGATACTGCACTGATCATAATATGACATGATGCTCTGTTTTCTTATTTAAAAACAAATTCAATATAATAAATAACTCCAAAATGTAAAAATATACAATACAACTTAACTTTCCTGCAACACTACACACCTGTAGCTTTAAAGTTCACGTTCTTTTAATTCTGCTAAGAATTATATATATATATAAATACATACATAAATATATATATATAAAAATACATACATAAATATAAAATTACATACATAAATATTAAAATAAATAAATATAAATATATAAATAAATATAAAAATACATACATAAATATAAGTATATAAAAATAAATATAAAATTACATACATAAATATATAAAAATAAAAAAATGTATATAAAAATAAAAAAATTAATAAATACATAAATAAAATATAAAAATAAATAAATATAAAAATAAAAAATTATAAAATAAAATAAATATTTTAAAAAATAAAATAAATAAACATATACACTTTTTTTATATTGGTATTGATAAAAATGAAAATATAAAATAAAAATGCACAGGTCAGTTCAAACTTTGGAATGCAGCAAAATGCAAAACTTATTTGCATTAATTTCTATTTAACAAAAAAAAAAAATCAGACTTTCAGGTAATGATAATGACCCTGACAACCCAGAGGAAATCACTCTCATTATAATCAGCAAAGCTCATAGATCTACTCTACTTGGGAAAAGAAGGACAGAAAGCACTACTTAAACCAAATTGCAAGTGAAACTGTCAGTCAGGTCATCTACCTCTTCGCGAGAGGCGTGTGTCTGGGTCTGTGTCCACAAACAGCTTCATTTGGAACAAATCTCGAATCTCTTGCGAGTAGAACATGAGAATCCCCTCAAAGAGAACCACATCTGCTGGATACACAGTCACAAACTCATCCTTCCTGTAAGAGGTGTGCAGAACATACGATTCATAATACGTCCAACAGTGATTCACCCATCAAAACACCCAAAATAGCAACTTGTGCAGAGAGAGAGAAGCGCAGCGCTGACCTGGAATGGGTAACAAAGTCATAAACTGGGATGTGCACAGTCTCCCCCTGAATGATGTCTTGCAGAGTCTTCATGACCAGCTCATTGTCGAAAGCATCTGCGAATGATGGAAACGTTGAAAAACAGGTTATCCTCAGTAAGAAACTGTTCAAAATGTTTTAATTTGGATCTTTAAAAGGAAGTAGTAGTCCATATGACACGTGTCTTCAGAAACCATATGATAGTTTTGTGTAAGGATTGAACCAAAATTGAAGACAAAACACCATTGGTTCTTACATGCGAAGTAACCATGTGAGCTGTTTGTTCCCCCCCCCCATTCCAAGTAATAGATGAGTATATTCTAACTTCTGAGTGAACTTTTGACCTCTTTAACAGCCCTCAGACATTCAAGTACCTGGGTGATCGAAGTTGAACTGGCCCTTGAGCGCTTTGGCTTTCTGTTCAGGTGTGAGCTCCCTGTAAAAGCTGTCTTGACTGAGGATGACCACCTGCCGCTGGTGACGGTCAATCTTATCCTGGCCCAACAGCTCCATGATCTTCTCACATACTGAAGACTGAGAGGAGAGAACCCAAAACCGCTTAGTAAGTGCTAAACTCTTTAAGCTACCCCCCCAGTTCAGATATACACAAGCTAAAGCCACAGTGGTTGCGTTATTTAACTAATAAATCATTTGAGACACAACCTTCTAAGCCCTCGAAATTATCAACATGATCCAAACTTTGCTGAAAAAACGGTTCTACTACATGCCTTCTATAAAAGGCCTTTTAGTATAATTCTAAAGAAACGCTCCCCTTCAGGTTGTGGTCCATGTATTTTTGCTGTGAAATCTTCACTGATTTTTATGAATTTAACATGAAAACTTTATATTGTTAGAGTAATATTTACACTTACTGGACTGCAAAAATCCGCATGTCATTATTTAGAATGAACGTGTTAAAATGCGAGTATTAAATATGCTATTTTTGAGGAATGTTTATTTGTACATCTCTCAATCATAATTGCATTATGTTTTACCGCACAAAAAAATAAAACTACAGAGATTTGATCACAAAACTAAGATTTTAAATGTCATCTTATAGAGATATAGAGTGAAAACTGATATTCATATGCATTTTATGCAAGTAGTCCGTTACACCGATCTCCATATTCTCTTATATCATATTACATGAGGCCTAAAAGCCTGGTGCATCAAATATGATACTCCTACATATGCACATTTTTAAATAATTTGTCTAAAGAGTCAATAAACTAGATAAATAAGCTTTTCTGACTATTATTTTATATGTTAAATGAGTAGTTCGCCTAAAAATAAAAACCGTGTCATTTACTCGTCCTCATGTTGTTCCAAACCTGTATGACTTTCTTAGTGTTTGTAGTCCATACAATGGAAGTCAATGGGAACCAACACTGTTTGACTACAAACATTCTTCAAAATATCTTTATGTTCTGCACAACATGAAAAAAGGGAGCAAATTTTGGCGAACCCCCCTTCTAACTTGTACTATAGACACTAGTGTCTCTGCAGACATGTGCTGTGAACTCTGGGGTGGGTCACGTATCCCATGTAAGGAAATCCAGCGGGGAAGCATGGCCTCCACTCAGCGCCAAGTGTGCATTTAAAATCTGGCCTCAGTTATATTTGTCTGGATGATAGACAGACGTTTTGATTCCGCCGATATGGGCGACCCGTCAGAGCCACTGAGCATAAAGCAACCACATTTTGACAGCAAGTAACATGGTTCCATTTGAGCATAACTGGGTTTTCACAAGCTCAGTGGTAATCGTTTAGCATTGGAAGTTTCCTGTACATGAAGGTCAGTGGAAGATTACTGAACGCTTGTTACTAAAACGGGGTGGTTGTGTCAATGTAAACATCCTCCGCGGTTATGACGTCACGTTCCCGTAACTTTCCTTCGCCTACATGGAGGAAGTGGCACTATTTCTCATTTTTAACAGCTACAACAAACCACTTTTAAACCAGCATGGCAGCTAATAAACATAAGTAAACTTCCAATCAGTGTTGCCAACTTAGCAATTTTGTTGTTAGATTTAGCAACTTTTCAGACTACCCTAGCAACTTTTTCTTCCAAAAGCACCTAGCAACAAATTTAGCTATTTTTATTTATTTATTTGGCAACATTTAGCAACTAAGGAACTAGGAAACCAAAGGTGCCTAGCAGTACGCAACTCACATGAATTAAGTTGGCTACTATTAGCAATTGTTTAATTTAATAATAATAATAATAATAAGTTAATTTATGATACACCTTGTTAGTAGCTTGTACTTGAGTTTGTTGATCAGTTAGTGCACGGTAAGAAAAATATCTAGAAAAATGAAAAAGGTAGTAATTTTCCAGGACATTATCCGTTATCCATTGTAACCCGAAAACATAAAAATACAATGTGTAATTTAAAATGCAGGTAAAAAAAAAACGTGTGAATAATAATTACGGAAAATTCCTTCACATTAATAGATTTTGCCCTACTTTTACAGACTTTTCTTAGAGTGTAGCATACGAACTACTAATACACTGCTTAAATCTAGAATGGTTCAGAATGAGTAGTTTTACTAGTTTACTAGCGAATAAAAATAAACTTAAATTGTAATCGTTAAAAAATGTGAGCGTTTAATAATTCAATGTTGTATTTAAAATTAGTTATTTATATTATTTTATAAACGCATCTAAATTAACATATTTACTTTTTTTGTTGTTGTTGCCGAGATTCGAAGCCGCGACGCAATTTTTGCATCGTGATTACGCAATGACGTCACCGCGCAATGACGTCGCGTCGTTTAGCAACTTTTAGCAACAAATCAACCTTCCTTCAGCAACTTCCGCTGAAAATGAGCTGGCAACGCTGCTTCCAATGAAGACGTTCGAGGTCGCTTGCAAGCGAATAGACGACAGCAGGACACGCTGGGATTCAAACCGCTGCGCCACGTGGAGATACAACATGACGTTATCCAGCGATTATAAACGCGAATCCGAACGGAATAACGAAAAGTATTAATTGTCGGTTAGTCCCAAGTTTTAAATTAATTTTCGCGCTTTAGAAATTCTCATTGTTCCCAGTAACGAAACAAAAGATTTTACAAATGACAAAAAAATGTATAAAGGTTTTAAATAACATGTATAGGTTTTGACCTATAAGATATATGGGCGTGTGAATACTTTTGAAAACCCCGTATGTTGAGCTTTCTTGTGTAGTTCATTATGAGCTGGCTAGAGCCACGCGCTCGCTGGAGGCACCGGCGTCACAGAAACCCCCCGTTAACCTAACGTTACATGATGATAGCGGGGTCTGTACGGTTACCGATAAACACTCGTAAAGCTCAAACCTTCCCGCTAGCGGTGCCTCCAGCCACACCGATGAGGAACGGCTGTCGGGTGTCGTGTTCGTTCTCCGCTCGGTCCTTCAGGTGTGTTTCACTGTCGCCAGCCATGCTTGCAGTGCGAGCACAAGAGTGTGTGTCGCTGCTCTAATAATACACACTCTTTGCTCCTCCTACCGTCCGCTCGCTGCTTCTTCCACGAAGACAATAATGCAGAACTTGCACGGCAAAGTCCTGTTTATACATTTCAATTTACCCGGATTATATATATATATATATTTTTTTTTTTCAGCTAATATTTAAAAGTACCATTGAAATATTCTTTGTTTGTGTTCTTTCTTTTTACTTAAGTAAATTAATATATTTATATATCTCTAAATACAAGTCCCAATATATGCAAATGAATGGCATCACATATGAAAAGACAATATTAGCAAAAGCAGAAAACAGATTCTGCCTCAATTAAAATCTTAAATAAATATAAATATATAAATAAATATAAAAATACATACATAAATATAAGTATATAAAAATAAATATAAAATTACATACATAAATATATAAAAATAAAAAAATGTATATAAAAATAAAAAAATTAATAAATACATAAATAAAATACATAGAAAAATAGAAAAAAGGTACTGTTCATTTTCTATTAACAAAGAAACAATAATATGATATTGCTTGTTTAAATTATTACTATTTTATTTTGTTTATTTATGTACTACTGTATATATCAACATGCTTCAGAGGTGGTTATCAAGTTTATGTTTGAATGGGATAAATGTAGCTAGTCCCCTAGTGTCCAATATTCCTTGTGATGCTATTAAAAACTGTGATTTAGTCCTGTCAATCATAAATTTTCAGAGCTTTCCAGCATGCCACAATGAATCAGATATCAATCTATTGCAGCATTGGAGATGGCTATGAATTCTTATGTTGTGACAAACTAGGATGACTTGAAGTTGAATTAATTATTGTTGAAGTCAATGTTCTTTCATCAGTGTGAGAGCATCCCTGTGTGCTTTATCGCTCAAAGACAACTGATGCAAGCAGCCACTGCAGGATGACAGAGTATTATTATGGCTGCCAAAATCATGTGCCAAATGTTAAAGCGACCATTGATTTTTGTCCCTTTTGATAATCAGCATTTAAACAACTTGAGACCTGAGGCTTTTCCAAAATCCACAAAAATCAATGGTCGCTTTAACATTTGGCACATGATTTTGGCAGCCATAATAATACTCTGTCATCCTGCAGTGGCTGCTTGCATCAGTTGTCTTTGAGCGATAAAGCACACAGGGATGCTCTCACACTGATGAAAGAACATTGACTTCAACAATAATTAATTCAACTTCAAGTCATCCTAGTTTGTCACAACATAAGAATTCATAGCCATCTCCAATGCTGCAATAGATTGATATCTGATTCATTGTGGCATGCTGGAAAGCTCTGAAAATTTATGATTGACAGGACTAAATCACAGTTTTTAATAGCATCACAAGGAATATTGGACACTAGGGGACTAGCTACATTTATCCCATTCAAACATAAACTTGATAACCACCTCTGAAGCATGTTGATATATACAGTAGTACATAAATAAACAAAATAAAATAGTAATAATTTAAACAAGCAATATCATATTATTGTTTCTTTGTTAATAGAAAATGAACAGTACCTTTTTTCTATTTTTCTATGTATTTTATTTATGTATTTATTAATTTATGTATGTATGTATGTATGTATGTATTTATTAACAGTACATTTTTTCTTTCTATCTATCTATCTATCTATCTATCTATCTATCTATCTATCTATCTATCTATCTATCTATCTATCTATCTATCTATCTATCTATCTATCTATCTATCTATCT